TCAGAAATTCTCAGCTTCTCTCCTAGTAAAAGTTGTGCTTCCTCCCACTAACTACTCCACACCACTTAAATTTTATTCCCACTCTAAATGATGCACATACGTAATCATTTGAACTTTTAACAATGTTTATTCACATGTACATATGTGAGCTTATTTTAAAAAGAGAAAAATCTGACTTTGGTTCTTGCTTATCTGTGTCTATGTATCTATTTCTTGAACGAATAAATATCACTGACAGGGACTATGTCATTGACAAACTAAGACTAATTCACGAAATAAATCTCTGTTTTTCAGAGCTGGCAAACTGTAAAGAACAAACTGAAGGATCTTAAATATTCTACCAATTTCTGGGATGGTCATATAAAAAAGATAGAAGGCAACTTTGGTAGTGGTGTGACGTCATATTTCTTATTTCTAAGATGGCTACTGCTTCTCAATATACCTGTCTTTTTGTTGAGTTTTAGTTTTGCTACTATACCACAGTTGATTTACGAACCAAGTCCGCTCTACAACACTGCTTCATTCTCAGTGCTAGATCTATTTACTGGTATGGTAAGTTCACAGATCTGTATTCAATGTTGTTTATAGCACAGGACATCACTTTATTACTGTTGTTTATTTACATGAGGCATTTACCATTATAAACTTCTTCTTTTAGAATAGCTTACACCCGCAGGCTTTCCAACCATGTTAGATCAGAACCCTCGCTATGCAGCGGGGAGACTATGTGTACACACACTACGGTAATACAAATGGGCAGCCAAAACAGTGTACCTGTGTACTGTTCACTTGGGAGAACACTACAATGCTACTTAACATCACACATCAGTCACTTGTCCAATCATGAGAATGTGAAAACAAATGTCAAAAATGATGTTTTAAATTATGCAGATTTATAGACCAGTGACTGTGAAACTGTTTCGTTCACTGTGAACTTTTCTCCAAGTTTTCTCACCTACTGTAGTACATATCGTGCAAAGTGTGCTATTGCCTATTATGGGTTGATGTGTTGTCCATTATTGTTTGAGCAAAAATCTAGTGCAAAAAAGTGAACAAATTATTACTAATGGTCAAACGCTAAATTTGTGGATTGACATCAGTGTGTGAAACATAATACAAGAAACAGTGTTTATAACCAGTCTGATTAAAAAATCAACTTTGTAAGATAATAATAAAATAATGAATTTATTGCATCCTTAGAAATAGTTTCCATTGATTGACAACAATAAAATGTTACAAGTACAATACATATAAAACTAAAGTAAAAGTACAATGTCAGTTACATGTATTATTGTTATTTCTGATTTCAAATATTTTGTATAAGTATTCACCAACTTGTCTTCTCTTGAACTCCTGATATATTTAGATATCTGGACCAATTAAGTAGCCATTTTGCACAATCTCTAAAGGTCACACATCCTGGTATTTTGAATGACCTGTAAAGGTCACACATCCTGGTATTTGGAATGACCTGTAAAGGTCACACATCCTGGTATTTTGAATGACCTCTAAAGGTCACACATCCTGGTATTTTGAATGACCTCTAAAGGTCACACATCCTAGTATTTTGAATGACCTGTAAAGGTCAAACATCCTGCTACATGTATGAGGTATAAAGAATTCATTAAAAAGAGAACTTCCCAATATCTCTCTTCCTGGGACATCAGTTGTTATATTGAAGTTAATATTTTAATATGCATAAATTGAGGTATAAAAATTATTTCTATTATTGGACTACAATATCTCCAAAAGTACCAGGATGTTTGACCCTTAGGGGTCATGTTTAAGCCACGTTTGTTGTATTCTGCAGTGTAGGAATGCTATGGTTCGAATACACTGGTCAGGAAACTGTGAACTATATTGATATTTTTGTTTCTTTCCTTTCAATTTCAGGGCTGGTTTACAGACACAGAATTATATTACGGTTACTATACGAATGAAACATTCACTACAAATGACAAACATTATTACGACATGCCAGTAGCTTACCTATTTACATGTGGTGGTTACTCATTATTCTTACTGGTTGCACTGTTAATTAGGTAAGTCAGTCCACAGTTACTAAAAAAGATGGTTAGGAAACGCCATTGTTAAAAGGTGTGAATCTGCCTAATCCCTCAAGGATGCGTGTCACGCTGTGTACGCCCTCTATTGCTTGAGATTTCAAGGTCCACCATTTTGTTTCATTTTTGTGTCGATCACTTGATGTTCCGCGAATTTGAAATTTTAAGCTCGTTTTCGATAGAATATCTGCGTTTAGTGAACAAGCTCTACGAAGAACCACACGTACATTTGGATGAGTACTCTTTGTGACTGTGAAAACATTCAGAATCGAGAATCGTCATTTATCGTTTTCACTGTTGTCATGAGAGTAAGCTTGGGTCCCGGTAGAAAAGTGCCAAAAATTCTAACCCCTATATCACTATTTTAAAATACATTATATTATAAAAAATACTACCAAATGAATTTTTAGTATACTACTGTGCGTACTTATGAAGGTTGTGTGCGATTTGGGGGCTTATTAGAGTAATTTTTGTCGTTTTGCTTTCGCGTCACTGTATCAGCCGTAACACTTTTTTTGTAGACGCCGTAGAAATTGTTGAAAATGTATTCAACATTTTCCGCCAGTTTCATAAAATGCCTGTTTAATTGTTCTTGTCTGTCCTTGTTTCAGTTTTTTTGGAAAATTTTTCATGTTGCAATATTCAGCGTGCCGTTAAATGTGGTTTTAGTCAACGCTACAAATTTTGAACACATTGAACTGTCGGTACAAATTTCTAGCAGTCTCTTCGCCAAATCAATTTTTCGAACCTTTTTTAACCGTTCTTAATTTCATTGGAACTGCCTGTTGTTGCATATTTTGTCTGCTTACATGCATGAGCGGGTCATTTCAGTTATCTTATCGCATATTTTGTTTATTTCCAACAAAATGTACGTGGTATCATGGCTCCTCATTAAAACTTTCGCCTGGCTGAAATATAAACACTTGTGTGGTTTCTTTGACGTCTTTTTTTCTGATCATGTTTTGTTGGGTTTTTTATTTCAGTTTTCTGCCGATCTTGTTATTTAGAAACGAAAATGCCATACACGACAGGCAAATTTGTATTGAGTTTAAACCGAGCGACAGGTTTTGTCAGTATTCACTGTAACAACTTACACTTTAGTATT